GGACTGGGGCTTGTAGAGACCATGGGCCCTCCACCTTGCCTTCTTCCCAGTGTCTCATCGTGGGACTGTTCTGAGCTCTGCACTGTGGACAGACACTCCTTAATCTGTCCCTTCCGTCTGCCTGGCCCACACAGGGCTAGGCAAGAGCCCTAGGGCTCCTACTGAGGATGCAGTGAGCCCATACCCACCCTAAGTCCATGAGCTCCCCGAGAGCGTTAGCTGAATACTGTGTGTGCCGTTTTCCAAAGAGAGAGAGACCCAATGTTTTTGTTTGTTTGTTTGTTGTTTTTTGTTTGTTTGGTTGGTTTTTCGAGACAGGGTTTCTCTGTATTGTTTTGGAGGCTGTCCTGGAACTCGCTCTGTAGACCAGGCTGGCCTGGAACTCACAGAGATCCACCTGCCTCTGCCTCCCAAGTGCGGGGAATGAAAGGCGTGCACCACCACTGCCGGGCTGAGAGACCCAATGCTGACAGAGGCCTTCCGAGTGCAGGACTCCGAGGAGCAAAGCATGAGGCTCAAACAAAGGTCGGAAAGCCTCTGAAAACACACGGAAGATAACCGACAGAGGGGAGGGGATAACAAACGGAGCAGGACCCTGCCTTGTGGCTTCATCATAGCAAATTCTGCTTTTGCCTTCAGTCTGCCCTCATCCCGTGGCAAACCAGCAGGCACGGTTTTTGCACCAGTAGGTCTCTCTCGTCTGAGGAGACGCTTCTCCCCGTTCCCCTGAGACTTGTGGCTGTGGACCACCTTGCCTTCTTCCCAGTGTCTCAGGCTCTGGTTCCTGTTGCCGCCAACTGGCTCTCTGGGTGCCCCCCAAAGGGCCAGCTGCTTCATGTCTCTCAGCAAGCGACGGATTCCATTCTGCCAGCGCTGGCTGCTGCACATGGGCACCATGCGAGGGACACTCAGGCATCAGATAGGCCCTGAGTGTGGCCGGAGTGACGACACCCTGTGTCAGGCTGGGGGAGGGGAGAGCTGAGCTGTGGCGGCAGCTTTGTGGAGGGGAAGGCACCCTTGCACAGGAACGGAGGAGAAAAGACAGCTCCCTGGCATCTGGATTTGCTGTTTCTTTGAGACAGGCTCTCAATATATAGACCGGACTCATCGAAAACTCCAGACGCCTGTCTCCCAAGCACTACGATTAAAGGTGTATCCCACCACGCCCAGTGGGATTTGGGTGTTTATCTGCATGCCACGGAAGGTTTTGAGGCAGAGCAGGTGGGCTCTCTGTTCAAATTCATTCTTAAAACCAGGCCAGAGGGCGGGGCGTTATGCTGGTGCCCGCCTCTAATCCCAGCACTTGCTGCGAGGCAGACACAGACGCAACTGGATTTCTGTGAGCTCAAAGCCAGCCTGGTCTACAGGACAGGCTCCAGAGCAACACAGAGAAACCCTGTCTTGAAAAACAAAACAAACAAACAACAATGAAAACAAAAAACAGGCCAGAGGATAGGAGATCCAAAAGGCTTGGAAGGTCCTGTGGGGGCGGGGAGGGTAGTCGGAAGAGGGCAGGTGAAAAAGACTACACAGCTGTCCCAGGATGGAGAGAAACAATGTAGCAAGACAGCAGACAGACCTTTGTACCTTGATTCCTAGGCCATCCTGCAGCTTGCCAGACACCCTAGAGTAGCCATGACACGTTCTAACTTGTTTGTTAATATGTCTACACCGCAGCCCCCCCTTCCCCTCAATCCCTAGATCTTTCGCTGTAGGGTCTCTATCTAATTGTTCTGCTATCCCTCCAGTCATCCATTAAAAACTTGGATGTCACCTACCCCTTGTGTCTTCATCACATCCCTTTGGGCCATTTACTTTGTAAATCTTCTCTCATCCTTGTGGCTTCTTCACAGCTGGACCACTGCCACGGTCAAGCAAGCCCTTACCAGCTCAGTCAACTACCTACAGAAAGCCCTCTCCCTGACCTCAGTCTGGGTCCCATTTCCATTCTCAAGTAAATTCTGCATCCTCCGGTCCCGGCCGCCTCGCTGAGGACCCCACACGCTAATCCACTCACATCATTGCGGCCCAGTGGATAAGATCTAAACGTCTGAATTCTGTTTAAATTTTAAGAATGGAAGGCGTTTTCGTTGAGTACAGTGGAAGAAGGCCAATGGGCTGGGCAGTAGAAGAGCAACACCTGCAGGTAAGGCAAGGGGACAGACAGGGTGTCTTCCTACAGTGGGACATGGCCCCTCGGGGCGTGTAATTCACCCCTGCAAGGAGGGTAGTCCAGACTGGCTGGTGTGAACTCTAGGACCTTGGTGTGAGCCACCACGAACTTAACGTCCAGCTGAGCAATCTCTGCGGGAAAATCAGAGTGAGTGAGGGTGGCGGGGCTCTAGGCTGCAGCTCTGTGGTGCCATTCCAGCCCGGCCTTTATCACCATCTCCAGGGCAGCCTGAAGCCTTGCAGGAAGAAAGTGCGCCCAAGATACGTTTTCATGGGCTGAGGAGACGGTGGGTGAAGGCTCAGAGCCTCAGTTTGATCGCTAGGCTCTCCATGGTGGAAGGAAAGAAAAATTGTCCTCCACACATGCACACAAACCAACACACACACACACACACACACACACACACACACACACACACACACACGCCACGCAAACCAAGGAAGGCAAGAAATAGAAGAGCAATGAAATACAAACAAAACCATGTATTTACAGAAGCCAGTGTTGGTAATCCATGAAAGCTGCAAACAGCTTGATTTTCCCTCCCGGTCAGGAAGTGGGGGAACCCCCCCAAAGGAATAGAACTGACCAACCAGGTGATAAATGAAACCCTGCCTCAACATCAAACTGATAATAATAAATACAATTAACACACCATACAGTAAGCAATGTAAACAAAAACCAAGGAAAGGGAATGGATCAAACAGAAGAAAACAATAGGGTTCATGCCATCACTGCGGAGGCAGGGCGTTTTCCATGTAAACTACAAGACTTCCCCCTGTCCAAGCTAGCACAGAAGCCACTTGTTACAATGTTGAGCTTATTTCTTTTTTTGGTTTTTTTGAGACAGGCTTTCTCTGTATTGTTTTGGAGGCTGTCCTGGAAATCGCTCTGTAGACCAGGCTGGCCACGAACTCACAGAGATCCGCCTGCCTCTGCTTCCCGAGTGCTGGGATTAAAGGTGTGCGCCACCAATGCCCGGGTGTTGAGCTTGGTTCTGTGTTGAGCTCCTGCAGTCATTTGAGCACCTCCAGCACACAGCGTTCTGGGTTGTTTGGTTGGTTGTTTTATTGTTTCCTTAACATCAAGTGGTTTCTATTCGTTCTTGGAAGTTTGTCCTTGCTTTCATCTCTGAGAAACTTCCTCTAGCTTCCACCCCACCATGGGTGAACAGACACAGACAAGGAGAGGCCTGTGATTGGCCAGGCCTCCTCCCTGGGGCTGTTGGAGTGAATCCTGAGTACAGTGGTGTTACACTCACCTCACAGACTCTAGCCCCTGTGTCTCCACACTACCCCCAAGGCCCTGGAATGAAATGCCTAGGGGGTGGAGACCGATGGTTACACAGACAGAACCCTCTGGAAGAAGAGCAGGTTGGGGGAGAAGCTGCAGCAGATAACCCCAGACAACAAAACCCACCTATGGCATCAGTGGGAACCACTGTCAGGGCTAGACCAGCATCTTTTGTTTACTTGTTTTGATTTTTAAGACAGGTCTAAGTCAGAATGGCCTTTTTGGTTTTGTGATACTTTTTTTCTCAGCCCCTCCCCGCCCCTACCCTATGCTGGGTTCACAGACCAGTCACTGTGTACTCAGGACTTTTGACTGAGTGCCACTATGACCCTGATGCAATGCCAGCAATTACTGTTGTTGGAATTGATTGTTTTGCTCTCGGGAATTGATTTCTGCTTTCTCTTAAAAAGCCCACCCCCTTATGTCAATTGTAAATAAACTCCCCTCTAATGGACAGACTTTTTTTTTTCACCAAAAGGTAACAGTAAAATGGTTGGCCGTGGGCTTGGAGGCAGAGACGCATTTGCAGCCCATGTTTCCTGGTAGCTAGCAGAGCCATCAATAAATACTTGCAGAGGGGGCAAATCGCACCTAGCTTTCCGGGAATGGAGGCGGCCAGCATGAAACTCCGGAGAGAATGGCGGGGGTAGACAGCCTGGGATTACACTGATCCACCATAATCCTGCACAAATCCAGAAGCCACCTGGACAAATTTACTGGACTGAGCCCTTCTGTTGGATCCATGTGGACATTGGTGCTAATGAGTTCAAGACAGGTGTCTCAGAACAACAAGAACGGCTCCTAAATTGGTGTATTGTTCTTGCTCATTTGTTTGTTTGTTTTGAAACGGTCTCATTGCTCCGGTGCGACACCGTTCTTATCTATGGAGAGAACCAGAAGACAGCCGCCAATCCTCCTGCGGCAGAATCCGTTTGATTCTGCCGTCTCTCCCGCCTCACCCAATTCCAACTTCCCCCTTTGAGTTTGTGCTTGTTTGTTTACTTTCAGGAACTTTTTTATTAAGGAAAATCAAGACACGACAAAAGTGGAGAAAAGGTGTTAGAAGCCTCCAGCCGAAAGATGACCACGCCACGCCCCACCGCTTACGACTGGAACCCGAGTCCATTCGGGATTCACCCGGAGCTCCCCCCCCCCCGGGGCACCGCAGGGCGGCCCGGGTTCGAACCGAGTCTGCGTCCTCCTCTTCCCGCACAGCGTGGGTCACTTCGGCCCGGCGGCGTTCCCGACAACCCGCCGGCAGTCCCGGGTGATGTGTGAGTGAGACTCTCCACGCCGGGCCCCCGAGAGAGGCGGCAGGCGCCCGCCACTTCCCCCTCTCCCTCTGGCTCTGACTAAGCCGCCCTCCCTGCGTCCGGCTCCTGGGGTGGAGGCGGGGGGCGTGGCCTCGGCCCCGCCTGGAAGGGGCGTGTCCAGGGCCGAGGGGCGGGGAAACACCCATATTTGGCCTTATATGGGCAGTCACGTCACAGGACGCGCACCCATTCACATAAAACGCTGCGCGGCCGGCGGAATCCCCGGCTTTCTGGGGCGGCGAGTGGCGGGGCCGGGTGCCGATCCGAGCCTCGCGGGGCGGGAAGAGCGCGGGCCCCTGGCGCCGGGCTCGGTTCGCCAGGCCACAGCCCCGAGGGGTGGCTGGCCGCCTGCACGCTGGCTTTGGGCAGCTGCGGGGCGCGCAGCCCCGGGCGGCTGGGCGGCGGCATGAAGGTCACGTCGCTCGACGGGCGCCAGCTGCGCAAGATGCTCCGCAAGGAGGCAGAGGCGCGCTGCGTGGTGCTCGACTGCCGGCCCTACCTGGCCTTCGCCGCGTCGAGCGTGCGCGGCTCGCTCAACGTCAACCTCAACTCGGTGGTGCTGCGGCGGGCCCGGGGCGGCGCGGTGTCTGCGCGCTACGTGCTGCCCGACGAGGCGGCGCGCGCCCGGCTGCTGCAGGAGGGCGGCGGCGGCGTGGCGGCGGTGGTCGTGCTGGACCAGGGCAGCCGCCACTGGCAGAAGCTGCGGGAGGAGAGCGCCGCGCGCGTCGTGCTCACTTCGCTGCTGGCCTGCCTGCCCGCCGGCCCGCGGGTCTACTTCCTTAAAGGTGAGCTCGTCCGGGAGCCGCGCGGGGTCTCCCTTTGCTACCCGCTCTCCTGGTCCCCTGCGCCTCGGGCCGGGACGCCGGGGCCCCGGGGTTCCCTCGCTGCGTAGGGACCCCGGGCGGGAGAAAGTCACACAACTCGAGCGGGAGTGTGCACCCCCGGGTTTCACGTGCGCCTGGGAGGTCCTTGCAAACGTCAGCGTCCGGGGCTCCCTTCCTCCCCCACCCGCCTTTCCTCGAAAGCGTCTGGCACCCTGTGTGTCCTCTGGGCCGGGTGGGCTCGGAAGGTGCTGCGGGGCGGTGCTCCTTGGCCAGCGGTTCCGGGGGGCCGAGGGCTCGTGCTGGGCTCTGGCGCCGTTTGCAGACTCGTGGGGGGTCGCAGTCTTTTTCCTAACAGATCTGGCGCGATCAAACTAGTCGAGACCCTCCCCCTTCCCCCCAGAGTGGCGCCGCGGTGTCCCCTTTCTTCCCGCCTAGACAATTAGAGTGCGTGAGGCTGTGTCTTGGTTTGGCCTCTTGCCTTTTTGACCCTGGCGAGTCCCTCCCCTTCCTCTCCCTTTACGGCTTCTTATTGTTTTCCTGCAGCCTCCTTCTCCCATCCTGGGGCTTTCTCGAGCTTATTTTGGTGCCGACAGCTCTCCCGTTCCTCCCCTCTTCCCCAGCAGAGGACTCCCTGGGACTGCCTCGGTTAGAGACTGCCAACTGGCCAGCCCAGTTAGGAAAGATGCCGCAGGGACTATGAGATCCCGTGGCCTTTGATTTTAGGCCTTCAAGGGCTGCCTCCGGCCCGACCATTTCACCTGCTGGGGAGATAACTTTGGCTTCCGGTCGTGGGTGGGTGATTTACTCCCAAACCCCACATCACTGATTTCTGGGTCATTTCCTGTGACAGCCGCTGCCGTCTAACCTCAGAAGTGTGGGAGCCCTGGCCTGGGTGCAGAGGTGGCCCCAGAGCTCTGCCGACTGAACACCTTGTGCAGGAACCCCGGTGTGGCTCAGAACTGAGGTGCAGTGAGTCGGAAGACTTTTTTTTTCAAAGCCATGCGACTTTGAATTTCACACACTGCAGGCCAGGAAGATTCCAGCGGCTCCTCAGTAGCTCCCTATCTGCTAACACCTCTGGCTAACTGTCCCTTGTTGATCCCATTGGGAGATAACAGGGGTGAATGACAGCTGCAGGGTGTGACAGGGTGGCCTTCTCTGAGCTCTGCAGAGGTCTCTGTTTTTGAGAAATGAAGTAACACATATCCAGGTGAAAATGAAAAGCGTGGATAAGGGAATGTATGTCTTCCTCACACCCAAACTCCTAGTTCCTCTCCCCAGAGAAATCTTCTCCTCCCCTATCCTGCCTCCTTCACCCTCTAGACCTTGGAGACATCCACGTTGTTGTTGATAGCACCTGGTGATGGCCGTGAGGTTGCTTCCAGATGGCTGTGTGAAGGAGGGGTAGATAGATGTCCTTGCAAGGAGCTCTGGCGTGTGCGGTCTTGTCATTCATTCAGACCATGAAAACCCCAAGATCAAAAGCGGTGTGCGTTTGGGATCTCTGGAGAAGTTGCTACCCTTATTACACTGCTGAAGTTCAAACTGCCGCAGACAGTTCCTTCATCTTAAATAGCCCGTGTCCAGGTGGGCATTCGGGGTGGCAACCATGTAGGTGCTAGGCCTGTCAGGCTTCCTACAGTCCCCTCTCCCACTGAAACGAGGCCATGAGGACCAGTCGGGGTGCCGCCCCTGTCCCCCCCCCCGGCAGTCGGTGATGAGTGAAAATCGACTCACTCTGAGAAGGTCGAGGCAGCCGTAGGAATTGCTCTTGCGACTGGAGCGAGGCACAGATGAGACACCAGAGAGGAATGTTCTTTCTCCACACCTCTGGTGGGAGTGGGTGGAGGGCAGAGACCTAGTCGCCTGACCCCGGTGTGAAGAGGCAAGCCCTGCGTATCTGTCCTTCAGCTACTCTGAGACACTTGGCCTGGTTTATTTTGTTGGCCCGAACCAACACCTCTCTGTCTCTGCCTTCCTGCCTGCCAGCTCTTAAATCCTCTGTTTAAGGGCTAGAGATGAGGCGGCCTGAAGACTTCTTGTGCTCAGGTCTGGGAGTGCCTGGGCTGTTCTTTCTCCAGATGCCCGCAAACCTGTCATTTTGTTTCCTGGAACCCAAACTGTTGAACCCAGGCCTATCCCTGTGATTTATTGACTAGAAAATGCCCCGGCCCCGCCCCTCACACCACCACCTCCTAGGCTGTGTGCCTCAGTGTAAATCTGTAACATTCCCTCTGCCTCCTAGAAGGGAAGGAAGGGGCTGCCTGGGGAAGCTAAGCCCCGAAAGCCTTCGCCTCCACTCCCTTCCCCTCCTAGCCAAGCCCCGCCCCCCTTCTCGACAGAGAATGTGGAGGGCTCTGGGTTTCTCCAGGGAGCCGGTGGGCTCTTTGTGAGTTACCGTGCGGGAGATTGGGGAGAACTAACTGGGGCAGGGGCAGGGGCAGGGGCAGAAGCTGAGAGGAAACCAGGATGACAAGATGACTCATTCTAGGAATTGGCTGCAGCTCCTGGGGAGGGAGTTGGAGACTGCCGGGTAATCCATTAACCATTTGCTGACTGCAGGAGTGAGCCCTCCGCTATTGGGCAGGCTATCTATCTGTATTACCAAGAGACAGGCACACAGGAAGCTTCTTGGAAAGGTCCCTGTCCCTGGGTGCTGATGCAACTGGTGATTTGACACCAGGTGAATCCTTGAGGCTAGTGAAAGGCAGGTGGGTTTCCTGGAGGCTCTCAGTACCTCACATTGCTGTTTGTGAAACAGAAGGTTTCTAAGCAAGAATGTTCTGCCTACCTGTGATGCTCTGGCTTTCTGTGGGCCTCCAGAACTGGTTGTTCCCCACTGGTCCCGAGACTATTGATGTGGGCGCATTTCTGTTACTTGGTCACTTTTACTCTTTTGTTGGGGAGGGGGTGTGTCTTGATACACACACACACACATATCCCAGGCTGGTCTTCAACTCATGATCCTCCTAACTCAGTCCCACCTGCTAAGATTACAGGGGTCTGTGGCCACTCTCAGCTTTGGCAGCTCCCTGTAACCTCAAGTGGGCCCTTCTGAAGGAACTGAAACGTGGTAGCTGCACCCTTGCATGCCCAGAAGTCTGCATTCTTCCATTTGGTTTAGAATGTATTGACTTGGTTTATGGCTGTCCGACCTTAGGACCTAGGGGGTGAGAAAGGGCCGCTTCTATGGATGGGAGAAGAAGCGTCCGCCATCTTGCCTAGAGTTAATGGGCTAGGGGCAAAGCCAGTTAGGAGCCCTCATTGCCGTTATGTACATTCACACCTTTGTTTCAGGTAAACAAGAGAAGAATGCTTTTTTTGTTTTGTTTCCTGAGGGAATATGGTTAATATATACCAGATGCCAGATAAGCTGCTTCTGATAGACACAGAAAGTTAATCATTGCCTCTCTGTGAGAGACCTTTAAAAACCTGATTTGTGTGTGTGTGTGGGGGGGATGTGCACCATGTGTGAACGGGAACCAGGGAGGTCAGAGTAAGGTGTCAGACCCCTCCTGGAACTTGAATTACCGCTGTTGTGAGCTGCCATGTGGGTGCTGCAGACTGAACCCCGGGTTCTCAGCAGGAGCAATAAGTGTTCTTAACCACTGAGCTTCCCGTCCCTCCAGCTCCACTGGACAGAGATTTAGAAGCGGGGGTGGTATATGTGAGTGGAGTCTGTTAGTTTTTATCCTAAAACTAGTGGTTTTGGTGAGTTTTCTTAAAACTGCATTATTGACTGATGCTCTAATTGAGCGCGCATGTGCTATGGCGCTCATGCAGAGGCCGGAGAACGGCTTGCAGGCGTTGCTTCTCTCCCTCCGTTTTATCGGTTGTCGGGTGGAATCGGGTCTTCAGGGTCGGCGGCAGGCGGCTCCACGCACCGAGCCCACTCACTTGTCCTTGTTATGCACTCAGAAGTCACATCACCTTAGCAACTTTGTCGTTGTCCTAACTGTCACACAGTCAGAGTGGGTATTTCTGACAGTCCAAGAACCCGGTGCCTCTGCCTGACTCACCTGTTTGTCCGTTTGTCTTTGAAGGGGGGTATGAGGCCTTCTACTCGCAATACCCTGAGTGCTGTGTGGATGTGGAGCCCGTGTCAGAAGAGAAGGTGGAGACTGAGAGGGGCCTCCTCGGCCAGTGCGGAAAGCCCGTCCTTAGTGTCACCTCCAGGCCAGCCTATGACCAGGTATGTGGTTCAGCCCCTGCCTCTGCGCCTTCCTCAGCACCCTGACTGGGGCTGCTGACGCTGCTGTGGCTCGCCCACAGGCGTTCCCAGAGAGTAAAAGGACAGTCTTCAGCACACACAGCTAACCGGGGTCCCTGGGCCACAGGATGCCGGGCAGCTTCTGCAGAGAAGAGGAAGACAGGGAGAACATTGTTATTAGTTGGCTTGGGCAGTTCCGGGAAGACAGTTCCAGGTTTCCCTGGAGGCATCAGAACGACCTACAGGCTTCCTGTGTTGTTTGTTTTGCTTCTCCTTTAGATTTGTTTTGTGTGTATTATGTGTTTTGCCTGCAGAGGTCAGAAGGTAGAGTTACAGAGGGTTCCGAGTTGCCACGGGGTGCTGGGAGGCAAACCCAGGTCCTCTGCAAGAAGGAACACACACACGCTCTCAGCTGCCGGGCTATCTCTCCAGCCCCATTCTGTTTTGTTTCTTGGGATAGGCTTGTTATGTAGCTCAGGGTAGCCTCGACTTAAGATCCTCCTCCCTGAACCTCCCGGAGGCTGGGGTTGTAGGCTTGTGTCCCCATCCTTGGCTGTCCCCTGAAGGTTTCTGGAACATATGTTCATAGATTCTGGTGACAGAGGAAATGGAGATATGAGAAGGCTGGATGTTTCTTGTAAGCATATGGATGTTTTTGTTTTGTTTGTTTGTTTTTCCTTTTTTGAAAAAAAAAAGGTATGCTTTGTACAGCTCACTGACAGTTAGGAGGCTGGGGACCTATCTATAAAATGGTGGAGGAGGATAGGAAAAAAGCAGGCAAAAGTCCAGGCCTGACAGAAACCAGAGTTCAGACCCTGCCTCACCGTCTCACAGAGGTACTTATCATGGGCCAGTGGGATGTCTTGACGGTGTCAGGCCAGTTTGCGAGACTCCAGCGACTGGTCCACAGTAGCCTCGGGCCGAGGCGGTCAGTCGCTTTTCAGTTCCATGTTCTGGTTCCTCCCAGGGCCTTCTGTTTTCTATCTGCCCTTTGACCTACACATCTGGCTTGGAAGGGGTTTTTCGGTCTTTCCCTCCAAACCGAGAGCATAGCAAAGCCTAATAATGAGCCTTCTAGACTTGGCTAAAAATGCCAACTCCCTGCCATGGGCAAAACTCAGCCTCTGGAGACAGAGTTCTAAATACAAACAGGTGGCCTTGCTTCTACTGGGATTCTTGGTCATTGGAAGCCTCTCAGCCTGGCTAGATGCCAAAGTCACAGGTTCTGTTTGTTTCTTTTCAAGAAAAATGAGCGTGTGGGAAGAGCCTGAAGCCACGTCGTGTCTAAGCTGGACGCCTGTGTGTGTGTGCGTTGGGGTTGGGTTCTGCCTCTTTCTCAGAAAGTAAGAGGAGAGGAGGGATTGACAGCAGGTTGTGAAAGCTCTGTAGACCTCTGGCCCACTGAGGGTAGGCTCTCTGATAGTCTTCAGCACTCGGCTGGGGAACTGCTGTACACAGAGGCCAGGCGAAGCTGTCCTAACCCCTGTGCACTGACAGCTTTGGCGGCTTCTTGAGTTGAGCGGAAGGCTTAGGAAAGGAGAGAAATAGAGTCCAGGGGTGTGATGGGCCGTGCTGCAGGGGAAGTTGGGTGGTGTCCCGGGGTGGTGTATCGGCATTTTCCAGGCACTCAAAGCAGTTTTAGGCAGTGTCCAGCCTGCTGCTTTGAAGGGGGGGCTAAGGATGCCATGGGGTTGGAGGGCGGCTATATCTGATCAAAGATAGGATGGAGTTAGACTTGAGTCTGACCTCTTTCCCAAGAAGGGTCTACCATCTGTACCATTTTTACAGTTTCTAACCAGTGCAGAGCTGGGGCAGGGGGCAGTCTGCCCTCAGGCCAGGCCAGGCCTGCTGATTGCTGGGCTTCAGTGCCCACCCTGGGTCTTCCCAGAAGCTGGCAGCCGCACAATATACAAGTTAACAATGCAGCTGTTACTCCTTTATGTCTTGCCAAATATCCCAAGAGGGCCCAGACTCCCCACTTTTCCTTCAGGGGTTAGAGAAGCTGCCCACGCTCCGATCAGTGAGAAGCTAGAGCTCTTCTCATGCTCCGTCGGAGTTCCTAACCTCTGCACCGCACTGCCTCTGAAGGCTGCCTGCCCTGTGTGTAGGATGTGGGGGAGGGGCACGTGCAGACTCATTACTAGGGGATTTCTAGAGAAAGGCAAGAGAGAAGGAAAACAGCTCCTTCCCATTTTCACCTGAAATACTTGACGTCTAAGCCAGGCACACACCCCACAGTAGCAGGATAAGGCAAACGGATTGCCGTAAGTTCAAAGACAGCCTGAGCTACACAGCGAGTTCCATCCAGTCCAGCCTGGCACATACAAAGACCATGTCTCAGGGAGGAGTAAAACATGAATGGCCTTGTTTTCCCATACTGGGTTGTAAAGAGACTCAGGGAAGCCCTGCCACTCTTGCTAAGTCAGCCTGAGTTAGGTCTCAGGAGTTAGGTCTCGGTCCCGGATCTACCTCTGACACCATTTAACCCCTCGTGCGCTGTGAAATGGCATTCTTACCCATCTTACAGGTCTCTTTTAAGACTAGTGCCTTTAGGTATCTCATGCCCCGAAACTGTGGGTGCTAATAAAAATGCTGGTTGCAGATATGCATGTAACTCAGTAGAATGCTTGCTTACCACAGTGAGCCCCTGGGTTCTGTCTCTAGTACCACATAAACTGGGCATGGAGGCACATGCCTTTAATGCCAGCATTTGGGAGACAGAGGCAGGAATATCCAATGACACCTTGTGCCCAGCCCAGCTATGAGTAGAGTTTGAGGCCAACCTGAGTTACATGAGACCCCATCTCAAAAAGTGTGTGTATGGCCAGGCATTGGTGGCGCACACCTTTAATCCCAGCACTTGGGAGGCAGAGGCGGATCTCTGTGAGTTTGAGACCAGCCTGGTCTACAAGAGCTAGTACCAGATCAGGCTCTAAAGTCACAGAGAAACCCTGTCTTGTAAAACCAAAAAAAAAAGTGTGTTTGTGTGTGTCCATGATTGACTTTTGCTTGAACACCTGAAGTGCTGAGTGGGTTGAGACAAGCCTGCTGCTGACTCCCATCTCATGATCCCTTCCTTACCTTCTTTCTTACTGTGGGTCTGGCTAAGAATTTCCATCCACCCCCTTTCTGGGGCAGGAAATGGGGGCTCCAACAGTCACTGGCCTTTGCTTGGCACCTTAGAACCCTGTAAGTGCAGATTACTGAGCCTGTCTACCCTAGACCTCCGTTTCACCTAGGGGGTAGACGGTCTTTGGCTCTGCCTTTGTAGGGAGCTTCTGAAGTAGAAGCCTAGCATGTGGGTGATGACCTCAGCCTCCTACTCTCCGTACGAAGGTCGGGGTGGGGAAGCCCCTCTGCTGTGGTCTAACAGTTTTCTGAGTCTAACTTCTGGGTAGGTAGAGATATTTTCGATTCTAGGAAACCTGCTTTTTTTTGTGGGGCGGGGGGATGACACCTTTACTGTTCCTAAAATGTACATGAACAGTGTATCAGGGTTTATGCAGGACACCATAGAAAACGCTGTAAAGGAGGAGACTTTGTCAAACCATTTTCCATGTTAGCTGTGGGTTAGGAAGCTGCCCCTCAGGGAACCCCGGCTTTCCCTGGTTGTCTCAGGGGAGTTTGAGGTTTAACAAGGGCCCTCTCAGATCCGACCACTTCCCCCACCTTGGAAGTTAGCATCAGAAGGCTGCTGTGACTTCCAGCTGAAACTCTGGTCCCTGTGAGTTTTGCTGTCCCTGAGTCACAAGGGTAGAGATTTGGCCAGGATGGAGGTGCCACCCTCTCTCGGCTGGCTTGTCCTGGCCCTGAACTCTACCTGGGAACCAGGAAGGGAACCTCCCACCCTAAGAAGCAAAGAGGTCAGGGTTGTTGCTCTCCTTCTCCCTCATGAGCAAGCTAATGCAATATTTCCTGGTTTCTCCTTTGTCCCTGCTTCTAGGGTGGCCCAGTTGAAATCCTTCCCTTCCTCTACCTTGGAAGTGCCTACCATGCATCCAAGTGCGAGTTCCTCGCCAACCTGCACATCACAGCCCTGCTGAATGTTTCCCGCCGGACCTCTGAGGCTTGCACTGCCCACCTACACTACAAATGGATCCCCGTGGAGGACAGCCACACCGCTGACATTAGCTCCCACTTTCAGGAAGCGATAGATTTTATTGGTAGGTTCAGCCACCCCCTCTCCCTTGTCTTGGGAATTTCATTGGAGTGGAGTATATTCTTATCTTTTGATATCTTGGTATGGTTACATTCTTGGAAAGAAAAAGGTCTGTAGCCCTGGGTGGCCTCAGTTTTGCTATGCAGTCAAGAATGACTTTGAACCTCTGATCTTTTTCTACCTCTAAAGAACCCAGCTTAAGCAAAGTATCTTGTGTATGCAACTCGAAGAGTTGGGGCCAAGAACAGGAGTTTGGGCCAACAAAAAGGCAAGGAGAGCTGGGTGTTGGTGGTGCACATCTTTAATCCCAGCACTCGGGAGGCAGAGGCAGGTGGATCTCTGTGAGTTCCAGGCCAGCTTGGTCTACAGAGCAAATTCCAGGACAGCCTCCAAAACAATACAGAGAAACCCTGTCTTGAAAAACCAAAAAGGGGGGGCAAAGGGGAGGACTGAGTTACTATTATTAGTTTTAGTTTATGAGATGAATGAATTAATATCATTTTATGGCAGTATTTTCCTGCTCTTGTTATTGTTTCAACCATGTATGATGTTCCACAGGAGGAAAGCCGGGGGAGAGCCTCCTTCTTCGTAGGTTAGGCTATTTTTAAAGCAAACAGAAGGATGGAGGGAGCGCTCCTTACGCCTGCACTAAGCCTTTGGGGCCCCGGCAGCTCCGCGCAGTGTTGGCAAACGGCTTGGGAGGCAATTCATGTTGCATTTTCAGCTAACTCTGGGTTAAAGGTAGCACTTGACTCAAGCCCCACGTCTTATGCACAGAGAGTGTGGCGTCTTTTGCACCCCTGTATCCTTGTGAAGCAGTTGGCAGTTGTCATCTTTGCATTGTGCAAGCCTGGGGACTGACGCCTTGGCCTCAAAGCTCTCTGCCCAGGTACAGCTCAGGCCCTCGGTGTTTTGTTTCTCAGGGTTGCCTTGATTTGCCCTCACATCCAAGACAACCCCCCTAACCCCCCACCCCCCCACCCCCGTTTAGCCTGGCTTCTCTGTTTCAAATGTGCAGGTATAACTTGTGATCCCGGCCCCCTTTCCTCTTCCTTCTTCCTCTCTAACATGCATAGCTGTTGGGATTGAGACATCATTTTCCTATGTCTTGTTGAAGGCAGGTGTTAGATACAAGGGTAATTACTAAGCCCAGGCAGCAATTAAAGCCCCTTCAGCCACGTGGAAGGGCCTGCTCACCACACCTGATGTCACAGGAAATCTTGACAAACTCACCAGAGGCAGTCTCCTTGTCACCAGTCTCTAGGCTGAGAATCCCCTTGCAGCCCGAGAAGCCACCAAGATGGTGGCTTCTAGGTGGGAACGCTCGGCTTTTCTTCATGCCCTTAGGAGGGCTCTGCCCTTCTCCGCCTGTTACTTCATTACCTGAATAACTACAGAGTGAGGTCATGCAGCCTGCCCCCGTGCAGTTCTGAGAAACCTCCCTCCACATCCTGTGTGAGTGTTGTATCTGTTTGTGGACACAGTCCCACGGTGTTTCAAAAGCACCTGACACATGCCCTGCCAAAGGAAGGGGGAGGGGCTGAGCTTCCCCCGGGCCTTGTACTCAGATGAGCTCTGACCCTGTCCCAGGGAGGATGACGCGGTGGGGGGCAAGGGCCTGCGGTTTGGAAAGAGCTCCGGAAACAATGCACTCCACATCCTTTCGGTTCTGGGATGTGACAGTGGACCACTGAATGCTCACAGCCAGCGGAGGAGAGGGGAAACAAGACGAAACTCTGTAATTGCCCTCAGCCCCGTAACCCCCAGGACCGGGGGTCTCTCCTTTGAGCTGACTTTCAGGGACTCTTGTTGGGGGCCTTTTGGGTTGATGAGTTGTGTGCGGCGCTCTGGGCTTGCTCTGGGCTCCCTCTGGAGTTGTTGTGATTGGAAATCTCAAAGGTTCCTCTCTGACCCCTTAGAGATTTGATCTTTTAGATACAGACATTTTCAGACTTCCTGAACTTTAAGCACATGGGTGGAGGGTGGTGGGAGGAGCAACATTTTCACCGTTGCCTTCTTTTTTTATTTTATTTTATTTTTTCTGAGGCAGGGTTTCTCTGTAACAGTCCTGGCTGTCCTGGAACTCGCTTTGTAGACCAGGGTGGCCTCAAACTCTCCAAGATCCACCTGCCTCTGCTTCTGTCTCCCAAGTGCTGGGATTAAAAGCATGTGCCACCACAGACTGGCTTTTTTTTTTTTTATTTAATCCTATGGTCTTATACAGTGCCAGTTATAGCTACATCTAACTTCCTGTGAGGTAATTACTTCTTCACTATCAAGAGAGGAATTGGGAGACTTTCTGTGTGATTTTTATTTGATTTGATATGTATTCACCTATAGCCTTTCCTATTTTGGGCAGTTATTTTTCTGGGAAGAGTAGGCAGGAACAGAAGGGACCCTTCACACACACACACACACACACACACACACACACACACGTCATAGTAAGCTAAAGAATGCTACCTGATGGCGGTGACTTTGTAGCAGTGACTCCCATTGTTGAGCAAGATGGAGTTGGCAAAAGCCATTTATATCCTCCATGTAGTAAGCGTCACTTAGCCAGGACTATAATTAGTGGCCGGGTGCTGTTTGTTGTATGTTTGTGAGAACCCTGGAAGCTTACCAAGCATCCTGCCCTGTCACAGCAAGACGGTTGCTCAGGGCATCCATCAGACCCCTTCCAGGATGGCGCCTGTGTCGTCACCATAGGGTCAGAACTGGAGGCATTCATGTTGCTTCTCCAGGTCCGTCTTTGAGCCCTGGACACTCATGACATTACACATACCCAATAAAGACCTGGAACACAGGTTCAGAGCCCTCTCTAGAGAGGGCATTCCCAGGTCTGGCACTTCCAGTGAAAGGATCTGTGCAGGTGTCCTGGGAAATAAAGGTCCTACGTGGGGACATACGTCATTGGGATTTCAGTGGAGTCTCATTTCGTAGCTCAGGCTTGCCTTGAACTTGTGCTCCTCGAGTCCGTCTTTCAGAGGTCGGGAATAAGGCCTGTAGGCACATGCATGCGTACCATGCTCAACTTGACCACTGCCCTTGAACTTGCACAGTAGAACTTGCACTGGGTCACGCAGGTTGTCCTGTGTGTCCTGCACGTGGCACTGCCTTTATACTCTGGTTCTGACCTACTGCCTTTCTCTCTCTTCATGCCAGACTGTGTCAGGGACGGAGGAGGCAAGGTCCTAGTCCACTGTGAGGCTGGGGTCTCCCGGTCACCCACCGTCTGCATGGCGTACCTCATGAAGACCAAGCAGTTGCGCCTGAAGGAGGCCTTCGATTACGTCAAGCAGAGGAGGAACGTGATCTCTCCCAACTTCGGCTTCATGGGACAGCTCCTTCAGTATGAGTCTGAGATCCTGCCTTCCACCCCCACCCCCCAGCCTCCCTCCTGCCAGGGGGAGGCAGCCAGTTCCCCGTTTACAGACCATTTACAGACACTGAGCCCTGATATGCAGGCTCCCTACTGCGCCTTCCCTACCTCAGTGCTGCCACCGGTGCCCGCCCACTCCACGGTCGCCGACTTCCACAGGAGCCCTGTGGCCACAGCCACTTCCTGCTGAGGCTGGGATTGGCTGCCAGCGAATCCCCAAGAGCAACTGTGATTTTTGTTTGTCTTTTTTTAAACTTGTGGACATTTCATACCTGTGCAATACTGAAGACCTCTCTCCGTCCCGCTGCCCCAGTGAGATGGTGATGGTCACCAGCTCGCAGGCGCACTTGAGACGGACCCCGGGGAGAGCTTCCTGGGGACCGTAGGAAGGCCAAGCCATGACCTAGCACGGCAGTGCTGACTACTGTACTTCAGAACCCTGCCCACTCAGGGCCTCCTGGTCCTTGCACCTCAGAAGTTCGCCTTTTCATTTCCAAGCGTAAAGGCAGTGAACACCCACAAAAGTGGGGGCGAGATGCCGCTGGACCAGGGGAGAAGGCAGCGACGAAGCCAATTCATTTCGAAGGAAGCACAATTTTCACTGTTTTTTTTTTTTTCTTTGAACTTTGGCAAGCTTTGTCTGTCTCTGTCGCTTCAGGGAAATAAAGCTGGTCACCACCCAGGCAGAGACGTTAGCTCTGCTAGATTTGTCCAGTCGGAAGATCCCGCCGATCTGAGTTCAGAAGTGTTTCTGAGATTGTCTCGGGTCCCGTGAAAGCTGTTGGCTGAAGGAGAGGATGCTGGGCCGTCTGGTCTCTCTCAACCGTGGACTCTGGCGTGGTTTTGATGCATACTTGAACCTGTGTCCCATCGCACCTCTCTCTGAGCAGCTTTGCTGTTGCTCAGACCAACAGTCGCCGCGTTGAGGAGGTGACGGTGAGTGCCCAGAGGAAGGGGCAGCGCACTGTGATCTGGGCCAGTGGCGGTTTCAGTACCTACTCAGCTTGGTGTCCTTGCTTCTGTGTCGTCCCGTTGTGACGTCCCTGCCCCTGAGAGGTTGTCTTCGAGCTACTGATGCTGGGATTTGCGTCTTCGGCAGTGTGGTACTACTTAGGCTCTTTGATAGGTTGTCTCTCCAGGGGAAAGGCAATAAAGTCCCCCAAACCCGTGCGAATGTGAAGAAAAGCGCCTATGTTGCTGGCTGTTGTTGTTTTTTTACATAGTGTAAAATAAAAGTGACGTAAAGGAAAAGTGCGTGTTTCCTGTTAGTGGTGACTTGGGATGGGAAGAGACCCTTTTGAGTGGGGACTTGAGCCTGCCTTACTGCTTTGTTTCCTGTTTGGCTGCTTTGCCTGTGCCCGCCACATACACACCTCGGGCCTACACAGGCCAGAAGGGGACATCGCATTCCCTGGAAATGGAGTTAGAGATAGCTGTGACCTGCCGTGTGGCACAGGAGATCAAACCCAGGTCCTCTAGAACAGGGTGCTTATAACTGCTGAGCCATCTCTAGCTCCGTTTTCTTTCCGAGTGAATGGCGGGTGGGGATGGCGGATATGAAGTCCTGTGTGTGCTATTGAGTCTGTGACTTTAACAAGGACAGGATGTTGCTGGAAGAGTCCTCGAGGTAGGACTCTCGCCTTCACAGCCTGGCGTGACTTTTGGTGCCTCATCTCTGAAGTGGACAGAAAGGCCGTAGGAGCTCTGCAGAGTCCCTGGGAATGCAAAGCCCTTCCTTCTAGAAAACCCAAATGCCAGGCTGTGGCCGGCCTCCCTCCGCCCTGCCTGGCACGTGGTAGACTCGGGAAAGGCCGGCTACAGATAGTTGAGGGGCAAAGGTTCCCTTAATGGCCTCCCCCCTGTTCACCCTTGTCACTAATTCTCCCAGATAAGTGGCTCAGTTTTCTCAAAACAAACACCCTAAGACTGCATGGGAGTTTGTTACCTTCCTCACCCCAAACCAAGCTCCCCAGGCTCCTGGGAGAGCCCGCAGGTGGGAATGCCGCCCAGGCCAAGAAGACCTGGTCGTTTTACTCACTCCCTTGTCACACCCAAGTCTTCCTCTGGGTAGAGCAATGGACAAGGAAGAAGCTATCCTCACCTCCCCGTAACTCCCCCCTAATCTGCAACTAATCTTCGGGCTTGGTTTGCCTGGTTCATGACCCCCCCCTTCCAGGTCCCACATCCCATAAGCCTCTGCTTAGCCGTGGAGTATCACCTGGAAACTTACTGTGGGGGTTTGTAGGGAGAGCTGGGGACTAGGAAGCCACATGCAGGCTGGACTTGCTGTGCTCAGCCCCATCCCACTGGATGTCATCTGCTTTATTGCATTAAAGCCTGTCTCTAGAGGGTGAGTAAGTCCTCTAAATCGGGCATCTGAGGATTGCTCACAAGTGAGTCATGGTGGGCAGAGGGGGCAGACAAGTGAGGCCCCACAGCTGGAGGAGGCTCTGGGGCTGTCACTCCACAGCTGGAGAAGGCTCTGGGGCTGTCACTCCACAGCTGGAGGAGGCTCTGGGGCTGTCACTCCACAGCTGGCGGAGGCTCTGGGGCTGTCACTCCACAGCTGGCGGAGGCTCTGGGGCTGTCACTCCACAGCTGGCGGAGGCTCTGGGGCTGTCACTCCACAGCTGGCGGAGGCTCTGGGGCTGTCACTCCACAGCTGGCGGAGGCTCTGGGGCTGTCACTCCACAGCTGGCGGAGGCTCTGGGGCTGTCACTCCACAGCTGGCGGAGGCTCTGGGGCTGTCACTCCACAGCTGGCGGAGGCTCTGGGGCTGTCACTCCACAGCTGGCGGAGGCTCTGGGGCTGTCACTCCACAGCTGGCGGAGGCTCTGGGGCTGTCACTCCACAGCTGGCGGAGGCTCTGGGGCTGTCACTCCACAGCTGGCGGAGGCTCTGGGGCTGTCACTCCACAGCTGGCGGAGGCTCTGGGGCTGTCACTCCACAGCTGGCGGAGGCTCTGGGGCTGTCACTCCACAGCTGGCGGAGGCTCTGGGGCTGTCACTCCACAGCTGGAGGAGGCTCTGGGGCTGTCACTCCACAGCTGGAGGAGGCTCTGGGGCTGTCACTCCACAGCTGGAGGAGGCTCTGGGGCTGTCACTCCACAGCTGGAGGAGGCTCTGGGGCTGTCACTCCACAGCTGGCGGAGGCTCTGGGGCTGTCACTCCACAGCTGGCGGAGGCTCTGGGGCTGTCACTCCACTTGCTAACCTCTCTGTCCGTCGACACACCGCCACTGGATCGGTCAACTTCACACTGGTGTCCAGCACCAGATGGAGAAGTCCAGGGTCGGGAAACCACGCTCTGTCCGTTCTCCAGCATCGTTTCATGTGAGAGATGCATTGAGCCTGAGACATCAGGGTGTTGATTTCCCAGCTGTACGTTTGCACAAACCCTTCATGTTCACTCTCATGTCTGAGCTGGGAGGGAGTGTCAGGAGCCCTGCACACCCATCGCAAGGACCCTAAGGAAATGTCTCCCTACCTTCAACAGCCTGAACAGTGGTACCTCTCTGAACTGATGATTTATCTTCTGAATATCCTGAAACTCATGACTGCCTGTCTCTCTGTTTGCTAAACTTCAGAACTAAACTTTTGACCTACAGAAGGCAATGGCATGTTTTGCTATTCAATTTAGTTTTTTTTTTTTTAATTTTCATTTTGTGACAGGATCTGCTATGTAGCCCAGACTGGCCACAGGCTCAGTCCAACTGCCTGGATTTTCCGAGTGTGGAGCACACCACACCATGCCCAGTGCAGAGATTGGGGAGCACACCACACCATGCCCAGTGCAGAGATCGGGGGGGGGGGGACACACCACCATGCCCAGTGCAGAGATGGGGGGACACACCACCATGCCCAGTGCAGAGATCAGGGGTGGGGGGCACACCACCATGCCTAGCATAGAGAATGTATTCTTGTTATCCACTCAACCTCGTTTCCATTTTTAAAAAATCCCAAATGTCTTATTCTTTCACTTCCATTTTCTCAGAGACTTATTTATGGGATGAGGTGGGGAATACCTAGAGAGTGGTCTGTGTGTTGCTGTTCGCCATTTGAGCCTGAAATGTTCCCCCGACAGGCTCATGTTTCAAATGCATATTCCCAAGGCAGTGGGTATATTTCAGGAGTCTGTGGAACCTTCAGGAGATTGGGTGTAATTGTCTGAAATAGATCCCTAGGAGCAGACTTTTGGCTGCATGGCCTCTGGGTCCTGTTCTCTACTTCCTGGTCCTCCTTACTTCCTTCCCAAGAACTGGGTTGATGCACCATGCCCATCGTGATGGGCTGAAGTCATGAAGCAAAGTAAATCTTTCCTCCCTTAAGGTCTGTCAGGTATCGTGATTTCAGAGTGCAGAAATAACTGAAGCTCTGTCTGCCTTCTCTCTCCCAAGAATTCCTTGATGAGACTGGCTTCCTTGGTGGCTTGGCCAAGACCTCTAGAGTGGGACCAAAATAATGTAAATATATTATCTAAAAGGCACTTATTAGATGTTACATGATAAGGATGGAGTAGTCCAGTTGTGGCTGTCTTAGGGTTTCTATCGCTGGGATGAAACACAGTGACCCAAAGCTACTTTGTAGCCTATCCCTGAAAAGTCAGGACAGAAACTCAACAGGGCAGGAACCTAGTGGCAGAAGCTGATACAGAGATCATCAAGGGGTGCTGCTTACTGGCTTGCTCATCACAGCCTGCTCAGCCTGCTTTCTTATAGAACCCAGGACCACCAGCCCCTGGGTGGCCCCACCCGCAACAGGCTGGACCCTCCCCCATCAATCACTAATTAAGAAAATGCCTTACAGTAGGATCTTATGCAAGTATTTTGTCAATTGAGGTCCCCCCACCCCCTTTCAGATAACTCTGGGTTGCATTGAATTGACACAAAACTAGCCAACACAGGGGCCAGTTTAGGGATAGGTTTTATATGGACATATTTGGGGGTTCCTTATGAGACATGGAAGCATGAGCCATTTAATTGAATGTCATAGAAGGCAAGTTGCTCACCGCTTCTAGCTGGAACTGGCCTATCGAGAGCCCTGCTCCTTGGATTTGAGTGGGCGGGTCTCTGAACTGAAAGAAGCTGATTGATTCCAAGGTGAGCACCTGACTCAGAAGCAGCCCACTCATAGGCTAGTAAGAGACCAATGAGCCGTGTGGTTCTGATGAATGAGATAGCAGTGACTATTTGAGTTTTGTCTCTGTCGCTTACCAGCCGTGTGGAGATGGACCAATTATTTCATTTCTCTAAGTCCAAAAGGGGTTTTGCTTTTGGTTTTGGTATTTTTGTTGTTTTATTTTTGTTTTGAGACAGGGTTTCTCTGAATAGCCCTGGCTTTTCCTGGAATTTATCCTATGAACAGACTGGCCTTGAATTCAGAGATCAACCTGCCTCTGCCCCCAAGTGCTGGGAGTAAAGGTGTGTGCCACTATGTCTGGCCAATGGATTGGTTTTATTGTTGTTGTTTGGAGACACAGTCTCACTATGCATCCCTAGCTGGTCTGGTACTCATTATATAGACACTATGTAGCCTGTCTTGCTTGGTGATGCTCAGATTAAAGGTTTATGTCATCAATCCCAGCTGTGGACTGCTTTTTAAATACTGACCAAATCTTGGCCTGGCGGTGGTGGTGCACGCCTTTAATCCCAGCACTCAGGAGGCAGAGGCAGGTGGATCTCTGAGAGTTTGAGGCCAGCCTGGTCTACAGCGTGAGTTCCAGGACAGCCATACCTGTTACACAGAGAAACCCTGCCTTGAAAAAAAAATAAATAAATACTAGTCAAATCTTATTTCTGGGGGAAATTCCTCTGTGTTGTATTTTTAAAAACACATTGCTGGCATTAATTTGCTAATATTTTGTTTAAGATTTTGTGATTGTGAAGGATATTCATCTGTAATGCTTTCTAGAGATGCATTTGTCTTGCTTTAGTATCAGAAATGATGCTTCCCTCATTAAATTCTTAGGGAGGGGTTGGTGAGATGACTCATCAGATAAAGGTACCTGCTGCCCAAACCAGATGCCCGAGTTTGCAAGTGTCGGGTCCCCTGAAATTGCAGTTACAGACAGCTCTGAGCTGCCATGTGGGTGCTGGGAATTGAACCCTGGTCCTCTGGAAGAGCAGCCAAGGCTCCCAACCTCTGAGCCTTCGCTCTAGCTGCTGCTGCCTGAGTTTGATCCCTAACCCCCCTGGGTAGAAGGAGAGAACAGACTCCTGAAAATTGTCCTCTGACCTACATATGAGCCTGCCAC